AAGCTAGCGAGCAACCAGTCTGCCATGAAGGGCTGGCCGCGAGAATCCTCCCGAAGCTTCAGGATACACGCTCCTCAGATCTATTCCAGCCGCGCGACAAAGCAATCATGGTCTACCCTTGAAAGTTCACACTCTATTGTATTTCCATTAGCACCACCTGATCCACCTTGAGTAAGTACGTGCCGAACCTGAGCAGGGACTGAGCTACCCTGAGCAGGGGCTGAGCTACCCTGATCTGCCCTGAGCTGCCTGAGCCGCCTGAGCCTGTCCTGAGCTGCCCTGAGCTGCCCTGGGTTGCCCGCTCCGGCGTGTGGAGCATCGAATAAGCCACTGCCAAGCGGTTGAACGAACATTGTACAGCCGCTGCATTTTTTCGCTGCCGCAATACTTGTGATATCCTGGCTTACACGCGTCGCCAAGTTGTAGCGTATTTAGGAATCTGGTGTACCGGTCTACGCTTCAAAGTCTTCGATGCTGCGCGAAATACATATCGTGTAATTTTTTCCGGCCCTTCCATAATCTGCAGATACTCCCCTCTCATGCTCTTTGAACTCTTCAAATAACAAAAATTCGAGATGCGAAATTACAGTATCACGCATCGAGGAGAAAATTAACTTACCAGTTGCTTGCCGTAGGTACATCTCAAGGCTTTGACCGTACCGTACTTGCGTTCTGGCGAAAGGTTTCTACCGCCCTGTCAAGATCAAGACGCTCATTCACGGTGCTGCCTAAAGGCAGCAAGCAGTTCGTAATGCCATATTAGTGATGGATTCGAACCTTCTAGGTGACATCGTCATCTATGCTGTGTGATGGGTTCTAATAGTGTAAATTACAGCTATGTAGTCCTCGTGCGTTTTACATTCGAGCTGAGGAAAGAAGAAGGAAAGGAAAATAGAAGGACAGAAATCCTCCAACAAAATAGACTAAGCCGTTACTGGAGCAACAGTGCTTAGACCGACAAGGCACTGCCTTGTCCAGCAGGGCCTAGCCCGTTACATGCTGCCTAGGTGGCGACATCGCCACTCAGCCCAAAATTCCAAGTATAAGAAGCCAACTTTTCACCATCACTTAGATAGAGAATCAAGAGTCTTTCGTTGCCCGATACACAGGGGATCTTCTTCCCGATCGTTGTTCAGTCATCCACACCAACCGTGCCCCTTGTTGTGTGACCCCTGTCTCTTACGATCTGTGACTGACTGACTCACTCTGTTCCGTCCCGCAGGTCCTAACGGCCATCAGGTGCACAGCCTCTGATGCAGCTTGGCGTCACTTGACCAATCATACGCGCAGCCCAGAGTTATTGATGTTCTAAGCTCCAGTTCTCATTGGTCAAAATCGCTTCTACTAAGAGGACAAGATGACGCCATCCAGACGTGCGCCGTCTCTCGAAACATGCATGAAGTTTGTGCAAAGCCCTCCCTGCCCGGCTGAATTCTGCCTCCTCCTGGTAAAGACCAGCTCAAACGGAAATAATACTGTAGTGTACACTATGTTACATAGTAAGCCAGTCAGGACAATAAAGGAGCACTTCGGCGCTCATTAGCTCCACAGGAGTATGAACTACTCGCGCATGTCCACGACCGTTGCCCACCAGACTTTCTCGCGAAGGAGAGAGCAAAAGCGGGCATAAACGTGGATAAAGGGACTTTTTGAAGGTCGAGTATCACCCGATCAGATGTTTTTCTTCTATCTCTCCCTCCCCCGTTGCCTCCTTTCCCGTCCAAGCAGCCCCTTTTATATCCCTCCAAGCTTCTCCCAAGTTGATATCCCGTTTTCAGGTATAGTATACATTCTATCAGGAAGAGGGCACTTCTTGCCACTTACTGAAGGCCACGTAAGTCATCTACGTCAGCAACATCAGCTCCATCTCCCCGATCGAATAGCTCTTCTAGCTATGAAATCGATAGTTCAGTCTCTCGAGGTCCCCGAGCCAGTAATAGTTATGCCGGACTCCTCAAAGGGTCCCCGTTCGAATAGGAGATCCTCCGGACCCCTCAGTGGTCTAGGAAGAAGAAACAACAGTCTGCAGACTTCCCTTCTTACTGGTTTCAAGCTGTATTACCTAGAGAGACCTAGAGACCTCAACTCGTTCGGACCTTCTTCTCGACAGACTTACCTGAGCCTGCTTTTGCCCAATCTAGACGCTATATTCTTGGCTCGGCGGGCGGAGAGCCGGAAAAGCCTATGTCGCAGAAGAATCGAAAAATGTCTTAACCTTCTTCTGGGCGTAGTTCACAAGCACGTTTCAGATCAACAGACAGTGTTGGAGCCGCCAAAAGCGGCAATTCTGGAGGTTGGGGTAGGTAAATAGCCCCTGCCGCACCTCGAACGTCATCATCGCGGTTTGTGCCCATGTACCTGGAAGTAGTGTCGCTGAAATGCGCCCAAAAGGACGCGGTTTGGTGACGCAAGTTGTGGCCCTCACCATTCTCTCGCATACGTCTCCGAGACCCCACATCTCCCACCCTCGCCTTCACTCCTCTTCTCTCTAGCTCTACTTTAAAGTACTTCTGCACTATCCCGCTTCATCGCGCTCCAACCGAGCTGCTGCCACGAGACCCTCCACTACGCCCACCTTCGGGTTTCCTCCATATGCCTCTAAACGCAGCCATCTCAAGAAGAGGGCGTAGTGCCTGGTACAACGCAAAAATCTGGCAGAAAAAGTGCTAAGAGGTGGAAGCACACTGTGGCTGCGGCATAGCAGCTCGTAGAACGAAGACGTCAGGTCATTGCTGTGTACATATTGCAACCATCTCGAGAATGTCGGGTGAAGCAGAAGCGCGATTCGGCCGGCAGTGCAATTTCATGGTTAACTAATCCTTTCTGGGCTGTGGCGGCAGCCATCCGAGAACAGGTGGTAGGATTGATGACCTGCAGCAAAAGATGCAGGACGCTGCTGACCAACGATCTCCATGTGCAGGGCACCCTTCTTGAACGAATCATCACCTATGCATGGCCTAAACCAGGACCCCTTAATCGTTCTATGCGCGATATTTATCTTCCATGTGTCTAGCCGTATTAGGCAAGGGCGCCTCACACCTAGCGGTAACTTAGCTATGCGCGTTTCCCCTCTGGAAATGGCGCTGTCGTAAGTCACGATTGGTGAGGCGCACTTACACTATCGACAAACATGTCTGACATAACATAGAGGTGTCGCGAAGCCAGATACTTAGTGTCATCTGAATCATTAGACAGTAGCTCCAACTTTTCGTAACATAAGGCAAAGGCAATTGGCATCCAGAAAGTGAGGTTATCGCGAGATTTAATTACTATAACTAGTAACTTAGTAGTATTGATTACCGTTTGGGACATCTCCAAAAAGCAAAAGACGTGCTAGGCTAGAAGACTAGATACATAAAGTATCCTGAGTATCCGTACCTGGGGTTGCCTCGAGCTAGTGGCGGTGTGTCACACACAATACGAGTCAGGGTAAGCTTACAAGTGGGGTCTAAAGACCCCGCCCTTGGGCTAATGATCGGCTGCAGTGAGATCGTGCTCGAACTACCCCTGCCAATTAGTTTGGGCCGCCACGACATGACGGGGGACAAAGACGAGACAAGGCAAGACAAAATGTGGCGCGACGTGACAGAAAGCGACCCACCTGCGCGCCATCGAGGTCGGCATGACGTCTGCGATGTTGCGTTGCAGCACGTCGGTGCTGTAGTGACCCAAACACCAAACCTTGTTCCTCTACCCGAGCTCATGCAGACCAGGGCAACCATATGTACATACATATACATACATAAATACAAGATATATATGCATGTACGTATGCACAAACATGCCTCGGGGCCGGCACGTTAAACCTTGCCATGGACAGCACGTGGCGATCGCGGCCCTGACCACCATCTCGCCGTGACGCCTAAGCCATCATCATAGAAGTCACTTGATGAACTTATCCGCGAGGCATACCACACAGACGAGCTCTCCCAGGACATGATCGCTGCGTTACACGACCCAGAGACCCGACGATGGCCGGAGAATATACGCAAGCTCCTACGATGCGATATGTCTGAGTGCCAATTGGTTGACGGAAGGATCTTTTTCCGCAAACGCCTCTTTATCCCGAACGCCCCCAACCTCCGCCTCGAAGTCGTCCACAGGTCTCACAGCAGCGGCCCTGCCGGTCACCCAGGCAGGATAAAAACCCTAGACCTGTTGAACCGGACCTACTGGTGGCCTGGGATTTCACAATTCACCGCTACGTTTGTTAAAGACTGCGCCCTCTGCCTCCGCACGAAAACCCCCCGCTCGTCCCCGCCCGGATTCCTGAAGCCCCTTGAACTGCCTGTTCGCCCGTGGGCGGATATCTCTATCGATTATGTCACAACGCTTCCGAAATGCCTCCGAAACGGCAAGACGTACGAGAATGTCCTTGTTGTAGTTGATCGTCTCACAAAGATGCGTCACTTCATCCCAGTTACTGGCCTTTCTACAGAGGAACTGGTAGAAGCATTTGTTCAGACTGTCTATAGGCTGCACGGCGCCCCTGACACAATCGTCTCCGATAGAGGGACCCAGTTCGTTTCAGACTTCTGGAAACGCCTAAGCACACGCCTTAATACGACCCTGAGACCAAGCTCTGCATGGCACCCTGAGACTGACGGTCAGACTGAGATCGTTAACGCCGCAATGAACAAGTATCTCAGAGGATTTGTGAGCTTCACACAGGACGACTGGGTGGATTGGCTACCCTGCCGAGTTTGCAACAAACAATCAAGTAAACGAGACCACTGGCATCTCCCCGTTCTTCGCAAACTACGGATTCAACCCACGCCTAGGAATTGAACCTCCCGGACCCCAGCCCTCAACCCTCTCACCGCTGGCAAAGAAGGAGTTCCTACGCGCAGACGCAATTGCAGGACGTTTTGACCGTATTCTCACGCAGCTCAAGGCCCTAGCCCGCATCTCACAGCAACGGTACGAAGATAATGCTAACACAAGGCGCGATGAGGGCCCCTGTTTCAAAAGGCGATATGGTAATAGTATCCCTTGAAAACATGAAAACCAACAGGCCAAAGAAGAAGTGGATGACAAGTGGGATGGACCCTACCCAGTTCTTGAAGCCTACCGCGGTGCGGTCGTTGTAGACCTGCCTCAGCATATCCGAGTCAATAAGTCTTTCCACACGTCAAAAGTACGCCTTTGGCACCCTGAGTCGATACCAGGCCAAGCCCAGATCAACGCCGATGAACGACGCAATGTTGCTGGCCGCGTCGCGGAACGAGACGACGACGGCAACATTGAGGAAAAATGGGAATTCGAGAAGATCCTAGACGTACACGACGAGGATCCCGAGCATGGACTGACCTACCTGATAAAATGGAAGCACCACGACGAGCCAACCTGGCAGCCGGAGGATGACCTGAAGGGATGCGAGGGAGCCGTAAAACGCTTCCACGAACGAAACCCAGAAAAGCCTGGCCCCCCTGCTTGGGCAACAGACGCCCCCGCACGGCCACGCCGAAGTCGCCCCCGCACTGCGCCCTAACGATGCTTGTCTTTTCAACTGGTTTGACGATTTGGGGACCAAATCGATTTTAGAGGGGGAGTACTGTCACAGTACCCATCACGTATCACGTGTCATGTCACGTGCTACGCCTTATATACACGTAGACCTCCTGGCTACTAGTTCTTCCTCTCTTCATAGATCAACAAGGTTATCTGGCCACTTCCTGGTGCCGTGACACTTACTTCTATTCAATTCTGTCTGACAGCTCTCAACATACATATATACATAGTGTTGCACTGTCACACTGGCACATCAGTATCTACAAGCCTCACCAACCTTCCTTTTGCCTACGCTTTACACAGCCACAACCCAACAGCTGGGTTAGAGGCATATTCGGCCGTATACCAGCCAAGGCTCATTTGGTCTTCCAGTCAACCTAGGCTAATGCAGGCAATTAACCTTCCTTTTGCCTACGCTTTACACAGCCACAACCCAACAGCTGGGTTATTCATTCACTTCCACTGTTCTTCTATCTATATAAGATCATCTACACTCCCTCTCTAGATAGAAGAATCAAGAGCTTTATTCCACTCAAGATCAATGCTTGCTGCCCATCTCGTACTGCAATAGTTATGAGCCCGGTTTGCACAACTGGGTGATTATATTATTTTCACGGTATCGCTTCCACTTCGCATCATCACGCGACGACAAGATGGCTCAATCATCTGATCACGAGAGCTCTTCCAAGGTCATCATTCTCAACGGACCTTGTGACTGGAAACAATGGATTTCCGTCATCCAGAAATTCGCCACATCTCATAACATCTGGGAGTTTGTGGACCCTGCGAATGACGACAAATCAACCATTGTAAGGCCATCAGAGCCTACACACATCCAGGTGAACGCCCAAGCATCTGATCTTGGTGCTCTAACCTCAGAAGAATTCCGTCGATTGGAATATCTTCACACATCATACCGATCTAGGCTCCAAACCTATCGGGACAACACGAAGGCCCTCGCCAGCCTTCAAGAACACATCGTCAAGCATATCGGCAATTACTACAGCACAATTGCTGACGAACATGACGTTGCCAAGCAACTATCTCTCCTCCAAGCCAGAGTCGCACCGACTGACTGGGCCCTTGAGAGAGAAGTCTTGGAACGTTACCGAGCCGTTCTTCGAGCCCCTGACAGGTCCGAGATTGAGACCTGGGTCACGAAGTGGCAGAAGACCCTCACCGAAGCCAAGAAACTAGGGCTCCCTGACACACAGGGTCTCCGCCCTACTCAAGACTTTCTTCAGGCAGTCTCATCCATCAACGAACCATTCACTGACTACTGGATCAACAAAATGGAGGATGAAGCTGTCACCGGAAAACCCGACTGGAAGGACCACTTCCCAGACGGCATTAAAATCTCTGAGATCTTCGAACGCGCCCACCGCATTAAGAATGCCGGTTCCAAGGGCAACAATGATAAAGGCGGAGCATTTCCAGCTGGCTTCCAAGGCCGTGACAAAGATGGGAAGCAGAAGCCTACTTCAGACGATGAGAAGAAGGAGAACCGTTGCGTTTGTGGTAACAAATTCCACTCAATCAATAAATGTTTCTACCTCGACAAAACGATCAGACCAGAAGGATGGGTCCCCTCATGAACCCGCCCTCAAGAAGATCAGAGATAAGCTTGAGTCCAACATTGATTTGAAACGCAAAGTTGATACTATCTTGGACCGCACTGGCACTCTCCTGGAGTCGGACAAGAAGGAAGAACCCCCTCAAAGGTGCAGCATTTGCAGGACTTCCGATGGAAGAAGCATCTGATCACGAGCCTGCCCCTACGCCGGATTCATTCCCTACTCCACTCACTCATCGCACGAGCTTTTCAACTTTAAAGGCTCCATATCCTCTTCGAGACTCATTTATCCTGGATTCCGGATCCGATACGCACATCTGCAATAACGAATCCCGGTTTTCCAACTACGTTCCCCTTGATCAACCAGAAGAACTTTTCGCAGGCGACTCACAGCTATGTATTCTTGGTTACGGCACTGTAATGCTACGTATCACAGGTGGGCTATTTCAGCTCAACAACGTGGCATACATCCCGAACTTCCATACCAACGTTGCCTCGCTCGACCTCTTCATTCAAAGGGATACAATTGGGATCCTGCTTCAGGAAAGGTATTCAAGCAAGATGACGGTACAATCATATGCATCACAAAGCGTGTGCATCGTCAGCCCGTTCTTGAGTACAATGAACTCCCAAAATCATCATTTGCAGCCTCTTCAAGCCCGCGCACATTGCAGTCAGCAGAAGCCAGCCTTTGGCACAAGCGACTAGGCCACTTGAACGCTGATGCACTTCAACACGCTGTTGAAAACACTCTCGGATGCAAGATCAAAGGCCCATTGCAATTTGACTGCGAAGCTTGCTCCCTAGGCAAAGCAAAACGGCTTGTTTCGAGACGGAAACCACAGACGAAGGCGCCGCGACCCTTCTGGAGAATCTACATAGATATCTTCAGTCATCACCCTTCCTTCAACGGGAAGAGAGCCGCCCTTTTGGTCACAGACGATTTTACAGGCATGATTTTCGTCTATCCTCTCAACGACACCACGCAAGAGTCCCTCATGGGTGCTCTCAAAGCATTCGCTGCCTTCATTTTCCGTCAATGGAAGCTACAAGTCTGCATCATCCACAGGGACAACGATCCTGGGCTACAGACAGCCTACGATGAATGGATCACACACGAAGGCATCAAGGATGAGCCTTCTGCTCCCTACACACCCGCACAGAATGGATCAGCTGAACGATCTGGGGGGGTAATATCCACCAAGTCTCGCACTATGCAAATAGGAGCGAATCTTCCCCATGATTTGTGGCCAGAAACTTGGAACGCCGCAGCCTTCCTTCACAACAGATCGCCCCAGCAATCCTCTGACTGGAAAACCCCGTTCGAGAAGCTTCATCAATGGCTCCTTGACGAAAAGAAGGATACAGGATACCTTCAGGGTCACATCAAGCCAGACACCACCTTCCTCAAAGCATATGGTTGTAAAGCCTATCCTTTGACAGTTCGGGCTCTAAACAACACCCAGAAGAAGGATCTTAAGACCTCTCCTCACGCCGAAGTCGGCTACCTTGTCGGCTACGATTCTACTAACATCTTCCGCATTTGGATTCCTTCCGAGATGAAATCAGACGAGTTCGTGATGTCAAATTCACTGAGGACTCTTTCTACGACCCGGACCTATCAGAACCATCTGATCAGGAGCATTCACGTCTAGAAGTTCAACTTCCAGCTCATATTGAAGACGAATCTGACTACGAGGAAATCAGCGAAAATATCACTCAGACCCCTGAATCGCCTACTGAAGTTCAGCCCGATGACACCATCGTGGTTCAAACCGATGAACCATTTGATCATAAGGACACGGATCAGAATCCCTATCCATCTCCTGCTCCCACGAGAGATTCTCCACCAGATTCTCTTCAACTCACACCACTAAGTCGGCAGCCAGCAGCCGCAGCGCCGCAACCTCGCAGGTCACAAAGACCCCCACAACCTCGAAAGCACGGAGCATTCTCAGCTCTCACAACAGGACGCTTTCATAGCAGCTTCTTTCTCGGCAGAGAAGAAAAGCTTCATCAAAGATCCTTCCTCCTGAACCCAAGACCTGGAGAGACCTCAAGAATCATCCTTTGGACCACAGTTCAAAGAAGCCGGAAACGTCGAATGGAGATCCTCCAACAGAGAAGAACGTTCACCTGATTCCACAGGCCGAAGCCGTAGGCCGTGTTATACCCTGACCTGGGTGTTTAAATATAAGTTCAACAAGCACGGGTTCCTCATCAAGTTCAAAGCCCGAATCTGCGTCCGCGGAGACTTGCAATTGCTAGGAGACAAAGACACCTATGCAGCAACCCTTGCAGGCCGCTCCTTTCGCATTCTGATGGCTATCACAGCCAAATTTGACCTCGAGACTAGGCAACTCGACGCGGTCAACGCATTCACAAACAGCCTCCTTGATAAGGATGAAGTCATCTTCGTCCGGTTCCCCGACGGCTTCATGCGAATCGGATGGGTACTTAGACTCAACAGAGCTTTGTACGGGTTACGAAGGTCCCTCTTCTTTGGCAGAAAGATCTCACAGCAGCCTTTGAAGACCTCGGACTAACCCAATGCCCTGACGAACCTTGTATCTTCCAGAACGACTGGCTCACTGTCTTCTTCTTCGTTGATGACATAGTCTTCCTCTACTGGAAAGCAAATACAGCTGCAGCAGATCAGCTAGCAGCAGCCCTTCGAGCCAAGTTCGCCATGACGGACCAAGGAGAGCTCCAATGGTTCCTGGGAATTCGCGTCCTTCGCGATAGGCCTAATAGGAAGCTATGGCTCTGCCAAGATTCCTACATCGAGAAGATCGTTCAGAAATACGGTCTCAGACAGCTCGATGAAGTCAAAGGCGTCCCTTTCCCCACAAATGAGTTACAGCCTAATCTAATGACGAAATTCAGCTCTACCAAGGCAAAGTCGGCTCTGTGAATTACGCATCAGTGATCACTCGCCCGGACATAGCTAAGGCAGCTTCAAAACTCTCAGAATTCCTCCTCAACCCCTCGGAACACCATTCCAAGGCGGTAGACCATTTGATTGAGTATCTCTACGCCACGAGGTATCTCGCAATTGAGTTCTCAGACTCAATGGAACCCATTTCAATTTCGGATCCCGCACCCGCAGGTATATCCGCCCCAACATCATCCCTCGAAACCCACTACACAAGTGATTTCGAAATCGCGTCTGATGCAGCCTTTGCGGACGACAAACAAACCAGAAAGTCATCCCAAGGATGCATTCTCACCCTTTCGGCGGGCCAATCATTTGGAAAGCAGGCAAACAGGATACCGTCACAACGTCATCCACTGAAGCCGAGCTCCTCGCCCTCACTCACACTGTTAAGGAAACCATTGCAACCATGCGCCTCTTCATGCAGCTTTCATTGAAGCTCGACGGCCAGCCAATGATTCAGTGTGATAACCTTCAGACAATTCGTCTTGTATCCCAAGACATTCCACGGCTCCGTACAGCACTCAAGCATGTTGATATTCATTCCTGCTGGGCTAGGCAAGCCTATCAACGGAAGCATTATGACATCAAATACACTCCAACAGCTCTCATGCTTGCTGACGGTCTCACCAAGCCGCTTCCAGGCCAGAAGTTTAAAGACTTCGTCAAACGCCTCAACCTCGTCGACATTTCTTCGATTCTTGAACTATCAGATGATTTAAATGATTCGGACTACTAGTTTTCTTCAGTCTGACCCTTCAGCCCTCATCTTCAGGCTCAACCTGAGGGGGTATGTTGCACTGTCACACTGGCACATCAGTATCTACAAGCCTCACCAACCTTCCTTTTGCCTACGCTTTACACAGCCACAACCCAACAGCTGGGTTAGAGGCATATTCGGCCGTATAAGGGATTTCCCGGTGATCTGCCGGATCGGGCGATTCGCCGGATTCACCGCCAGTTCACGTCTCCACTTCAATCCTGAATTTCTCCACCACCATGGCCCGATTGATGAAGCGCTTGAGTTTCTGAAGCTGTGTGACACTGTTAACTATGCCAAGACTGCGCGTCAGTTCAATTGCGACGAGACTACCCTGCGACGGCGACACCAAGGCAAACAGAGGTCAAGACGGGATGCCGACAGTTTGTATAAGTCACGTCTCTCAAAACAGCAAGAAAGGGATCTTGTTGCGTATATTCGCAAGCTTTCATCACGTGGGATTCCGCCTACGCTGCCGATGATCAAAAGTTTTGCCCAGGATATCGCCAAAATTGAGGTCGGAAAGGACTGGCCGTATAGCTTCGTCCGACGTAACAGCGATGAGCTCGGTTGCACTTGGTTCGACGGTTTTGATATCGCAAGAAAGAGAGCAGACAATGCTTCTAGATACAGAGCCTACTATGAGCTTGTAAGTAGGTGCCCAAGTCCATCCCTTCATTGCTGATCGTACAAGATTGGCGAGAAAATCGAGAAATACGACATCCTGCCTTGCAACACGTATAATGTGGACGAAAAGGGCTTTCTCCTCGGCGTCATCAATCGTACCAAGAGAGTATTCTCTGTTCGTGCCAAGAAAGGAAAATTGATCGGTGCTGCGCAGGATGGCAACAGATCATGGATCACGTTCCTGGCATGTGTCTGTCAAGACCTGACCGCGCTACCCCCGTTTCTCATCTACCAAGGCAAGCCAGGGCAAGTTCAGGACTCCTGGCTCACGGAGTTTGATCCGGAGCACCAAGCGGCGTTTTTCACAACCTCAGAAACGGGTTGGACGAACCATGAACTTGGAAAGGAATGGCTCATTGGTGTTTTCGACCGGTTCACGAAAGAAAAGGCGCGAAACGGCCGGGATTACCGCCTCCTGATTACCGACGGACACTCTAGTCATGTCAATATGGACTTCCTGGAGTGGTGTGACCAGCATCGGATAATCGTTGCCGTGTTTCCGCCGCATTCCACGCACAGGCTGCAGCCCCTTGATGTGTCCCTTTGGCCCTCTTTCGACCGCATACACCAACCAGCTCATCCAGTGGACTGCAAAGACACAGGGACTCATCGGGCTATCGAAACGCGAGTTCTGGTCGTTATTTTGGAACGCATTCGGGTCATCTTTCTCGGCGGAGAACATCGCAAGTGGTTGGAAACGGACCGGACTCCTCCCATTTGACCCTGAAGTCGTTTTGTCGCAGATCGCGGAGAAAACAGAAGATGAGTCTGAGTCTGGCGACAGCTCCGTTGACTCGCTCGCCCTGCAGCAGCCCACTGCTCGGGATTTGCGCCGACTTGTCGACAAGGTAGTCGATGGATCCTCAAAAACGCTAGCCGAGACAGTCGGAAGCTCAAAGTACTCGAAAGTCTCCAATCTCAGAACGAATTGCTTCGATATGAGAATCAGGGACTTCGGAGACTATCTTTCACGAAAAGCAGCGCAGAATGCGCGGTAAAGCTCTGAAGGATTACCTTTTCGATCGTGTAGATCCTAACTCGGCGCAGGTATTTAGCCCTGCAAAAGTGGCCCAAGCGCGCTTGAAGAAAGCAGCCATGGAGACTCAGAAGCAAGAAGAGGCCTTGGAGAAAGAACGACAAAGGTTTGAGCGACAGCAAAGGCGGCAAACCTCAAAGTTCTCGCTCTGGAGAAGAGAAGGCAGCGGGAGGCAAAACTGAGCAAAGACGTCAGGCAAAGGAAGCCAGACAACAAGAGCGGGAGAAAAACAGGCAGATACGGAAAGAGCTCAAGCGAAAGAACCAGAAAAAATGTCGGAAATGGGATCCGGACCTCTGTTGCTCCACAGACTCGCGAGAAGAGTCCGGGCGTTCGAGACGAGATTGTCGTCGCCATTTCGGCTCCACCAGAACCGACGACAGCTCCGGAACACTCAAAATCGCCAAACATTAAGTTGCGTAAAGATCCAAAGCCGGCATTGACCACTTCCTCACGTCCCAAAAGCCATCATTGGCTGTCGAGCGCGACCAGGAGATGGTAGTCGCAATGCGGGGACTTGCGCGATCGGGACGCCACAGGAAGCGGCCACGGTGGCTTGATGACTGCGAAGTAGATTGAATGGAATTGCTAGGCATCTTTCTTGCTTCTGCTTTAATGTGAGATTGTTTCATATTATTTTCGTGGAGTTTCACTCAAATCTTCACCGGAATGCAAGGGAACCAAAATCCGGCGAATCGTCCGATCCGGCAGATCACCGGAAATCCCTTACCAGCCAAGGCTCATTTGGTCTTCCAGTCAACCTAGGCTAATGCAGGCAATTAACCTTCCTTTTGCCTACGCTTTACACAGCCACAACCCAACAGCTGGGTTATTCATTCACTTCCACTGTTCTTCTATCTATATAAGATCATCTACACTCCCTCTCTAGATAGAAGAATCAAGAGCTTTATTCCACTCAAGATCAATGCTTGCTGCCCATCTCGTACTGCAATACATAGTGGCACGTCCGTGCCACTATCCAGTGACTCACCACTTGTAACTGCTGCCTAAACATGTCTTGGTCCATGTCTCAACAGAACGTGTACGCGTTCTCGCAAGCAGCCGATCCGAATGCCAGCTTCATCTTCATTCCAAATCTCCGATGCCCCAATGCGAAACTTCTTGATAGTCTCGTCGAGGTTAGAGAAGAAGTCATTCACTTCCTCAACACTCTGCGCTTCAAAAGACTTCCGTGCTCTCTCGACGGCCTTCAAGTAAGTCTTCTTGACCTCAGGGTGACTTTGGCGCCAGCCTGCGAGCCAGTTCTGAGACATAGGTCTTGATGATGGATCTCGTCGCTGCCTGATTGTATTTGCGGCAGCCTCAAGCTGCTCCTTTCCCGCTGGAATACCAATTATACCAGTACGCTCCATCCACTGTATGTACGCCACAAGGGCGTTATCTTCATCCTCAGTCAACGCAGTTGGGCGCCCCTGACCTCGGGCAAATGGGTTTTCCAAAGAACGGATGGCCCTCTCGACAGCGCCTCTATTGACTTTGTACCTAGAAGCCGCTTTGCGGATAGAAAGGGGGGTTCGTTGTGGTGTTGTGGCACGACGTAGGGCCGCTCTAGGCGGCCGGCGAGAGGCGATGACGGCTCGCGCGGCGGCTAGGGCATTGTCATTGGGAGTCATACCGTATGAAATAGAGAATAACCTCTCAAGTTGGTTTGGGTTGAAAAATACGCGTTGACGGCAATTGAGACGGTACTCAAAAGAGAGGCGACTGTCACGGAATTTTTGTGATGTCACGGATTTTTTGTGCCAACTAAAGGGCGTAAGACCTTTAGTGGGCTGCCGTGGCCCCACCACGCTTAGACCAACGGGTAGCTCTTACGAGATATCAAAGTGTTGCCAGGGCAGAACGAGCCTCTGCGTGTGTGTGTGTGTGTGTGTATTTTCCGTCCAGCGGCCGTAAGGCCGCTCAGGTCCCGGTGGGGCACAGGACGTGCTGAGCTAGGCTATCGAGAAAATCCTGCCACAGTAGGCCTCACCCAGCGCTTCTGGCCTCGCAAGGGCGAGCTGTCGGGCTCAATCCCCGAGACGGCTTTCCACCCTCCACCGGTAGGTTGTCGCTAAGCCCGTCAATACAAGTGTCCGTGGCTATCCTCTGCAGCCAGCCTTCCCGAAGTCCATCCAGCATTTCATCGGCTCTAAGGCGCTCAGTGTCGGAGCCTGGTGCCCGTCAGCGGGTCGTCCAGGCGCGTGGCGATTGCCACAATGGTCAACCCTTGGTTTTGTCCGGTCAGAATTCTCTCGCTCTCTCGCTAACGCTGCTGTCGCAGTCCATGCTTCGGTAACCAGGCGATGGAAATAGCGCAGGAGCGGCGGCAGGAAAACCCTCGAAGGAATCAGAGGCTGTCGTGCAGCTTGCCTTCAGGGAGAAAAACCTGCGCAACCAGCCACCGTTGTTTAGAAGGGCGGGCCTTCCAATACCCACAGCTCCTTGGTTCCGAAGGAAGCTGTGAGGTCCGTGTGGACGTGTTGTCGAGACCGGCTTTGCAGAGGAATATGAACTCTCCTAATGTCTTCCTCTGTGCTGTTAGGCCACGATGGACCCGGGCAAAAGCGCGGTCGGGTGGCCTGCAAATCCGGCCCCTGCTAGCGAGCCGCTAACAGCTCTGACGGGGAAGAATTTTTACAGGGGAGAGTTAAACGAGCCTCTGCGTAGCTTTCATCTCATGTCTTTAGGGTAGCATCTGGTCACACTTCCCATACTCTCTGCTAGGCAGAACTTGACGTTGAAGCCTTTCCTCAGTTCACCTTGCCCCCCGCCGACAAACACGAAACAGACGCGACAGGGTAAAAGCAGATCAGATGTGCAATATTTATTGCGCTCTCCAATCGCCAGACCGCTTCACGATCACTGAACTTTACCGCTCGACTAGTCTTGATGAAGCAAGCCACCGGCTTCCAATCATCCAACCTTGAGGGATGTGATTGGACGTCAAGCTCATTCTGGGACGCCCGATTTTGGCCTTAATCTGACCAACTTGACCAATAGCGAGCCGGAACAAAGAGCTGCAGTACGGTCGCACATTAGGCAAGGTTGGCAAAAACCGCACCAAAAAAATACCGGCCACCGCATGCGTCACATCAGGCTACACCCCACTGTAGTATACCTGCATCGCCTTTTGCAGCAATTGCGCATCGCACATTTATCATACCTCTCGCATCAATATATGAGGCTTGAAGCAGATGCATTAGTCTTATGGAGCCTGCTGCTATTATATGCTGCTGCCTCTAGCAACGTAAATTGATATCTTTCCCATTCTGGGGCGGACTGTAAGCTGCAACTTTATTATTAAAATCTTAAAACCATCACGTCCTCAAGCCCCGTACCGGTACACAACACCCAAAAGAGATAATTCTTCGGTGACTCGATCGTGCAACTTCTTGCGCCTTTTTTGGGCTATAATCTAATCTGACGATGTGATACTACTCTTGCCTGGTTTGTGCAAATTGTGTCGAGAAGAAGGTCCGAACGAGTTGAGGTCTCTAGGTCTCTAGATAATACAGCTTGAAACCAGGTAAGAAGGAAGTCTGCAGAAGGCTCTGCAGGTAGGGCTCCTGGAGCCTGCAGGACAGATCACGATGACTTGCTTGCGAGATTGAAAAGCGGGCAAATATTTGGCAACTATTCGGAGCCACAGCGCGAGGCGATGTGGCCCAAAGTCTGCGGCGCTTCTCGCACACAGTTGATTCCGTCACTGTTCGCTTTCTTCGAAGACCGCAAGTTTCTGGCATGTGCTGCGGAGTGCATGAAGAAAATCGTGGATACAGGACCACGCGACACCATTGCAGGCCGCCTGGAAGACATGTTTACGGACGTCAACCAGCAGAGCGACCGGTGCGTGATTCAGATCTCAGATGGGAGCTTTGGAACTATTGCAGGAGATGCCGCGCTGAGACTTGACTTGGGGATGCGGCAGCTCTGGCTGGCCGCGTTCCGCATGTATCAAGACCTGCCGACCGACGCGCAAAAGAAAGACCGCTTGGCGAAAGCGCGAATGAAACCAGACGAAAGTGCACTTCATGACCTCGCCTCGCTTGCCTCGCGACTTGGTTTCGAGTCGGAAAAGTGAGAAAGATATTGCAGGCGTCACCGGACAGGGCCATCGCTGAACACGCTCTGCTGGCCGCTCGGAAGCCAGGGCGGTTCCGGTACGCAAATCGCGAGCAGCGCATCCAACAAGTGGTTGACGTGTTAGCGACGGCCGTTCCGATGTTCGCCGAAGCATCGGAGCATGCGGATACCAGCGTGCGCGTCCAGCCTCCAAACCGATACGGAATACCCCACGATCTGGATCACGAACGCGATAAAACCCGGCTGTTCCTTCCGAAGCTGGACGAAGCGGCAGAATCGGATCAGACCGAGCTGCGCTCGTTGTTCATCAGAAGGTCGGTGTATTTGGCCTACTTCGGACAACCTCCATCGACCCAGGGCTGCACTGCAGACCGCGACGCGACAAATCGAGATGTGTCCATGACTGACCGGACATCCCCACCATTGGAGGTCTCAAATCATGTGGAGTTAAGCAGGGCTCTCATCGCACGTGCCCTTGACCCGGAGCTGGACGCGCCACACGACGACTCGCATCGAGCTGATGACCAGAGGTCCACGCTGCAGCTATTACGGCGAGACATTGAGAATGAGCGGTCAGTTAGATCAGCTCAATGCTCTGCTTGCCGCAGCGCAGGCCAAGATCGAGGATAAGGAAACGCTGTTGGGGATGCTCGCTAGACAAGAGGAGGAACAACACGCCAAGATCGAGGAGACGGAAACTTTGTTGGGACTACTCGCTACACAAGAGGAGGAAAACACGCCAAGCTGCGACAGTTGGAAGAGATGCAGCAGGAGCAACAGGAAAACTGGATCGCTTGACACAAAGGGTTGCATCCTCTCTCGCGAGACCTTATCCTGGCAACGAAATTCGGCAAATCACTTTTATGTTAAGTCGACGCATTACCTGCCCTCCGACTGTCAAGGAGCAGCCTTTTTATCCTCCAATGCATCATGAGTCGAAGACATAATTTCATGGCGCGAGCTTGGCACCCATTTCGCAAGGGTTACGCCGTCGAAGAGAGGCAGGAGAAGAACGTCGATGCGTTTGTCTTCGCGGCAAAAGTCACAAAAGCCTCGAAGTGCCTTGCCGTTCTCCGTCCAGTAAGAGCGGGACTCTCCAGACAGCAGAGGGTTGGCATTCGTGGAAATAGTCATACCCCTAGCAAAGACTATTGAGTCATTTGGTTAGTATTCCGACCCTGGATATTTCTGAACTTGCTTCTCACCATTGTCACACATGATCAACCCTTCAGGGGCTAACAACTTATGATCCAAAATATATTGTACATAATTTTGGTAGCCCTCCTTGTTTGCATCAACAAAAATAATGTCAAACTGGCCGCTCAGCTTCTTCAGCGAGTCTTGAGCAGGGCCTTCGACGAGAGTTAGTCGGTCGTTGACCTTGTATTTGTCAAATGTGTTGCGCGAGGCTGCAATCATCTTCGGGTCGGCCTCCAGCGAGATGATCTCTGCATTAGTTTTTCTAGTGCCTTCGTACCAGGCCAAGGCGCTGTAACCTGTATAGCAACCTATTTCAAGAACTGCCTAGCACGTTAGCTCACTCGGGTCTCAGCTCGGTATTAAGCGGCATATGTACTGCGACGAGCTCTCACAAACTCTGCCAGAAACGTCATTGTTGCTCCTTGCAATGGCGAAGACATCTTGTCGGCGTCGGCAAAATTTTGCAAGTCCAGTCCCAGAGTTCATCCATTTGCTCTGTGACCTTCTTCGAATGCTCAGTGCAGTAGTTGGTCACCTCCACCGCCATCTCGGCTAAGACCAGGGCTTTAGCACACGATTCGAAAGCTGCTATTCTGGCAAGGAACTAACTGTGAACGGTAAGACGCTTGACAACATCTTTGGTGAGCGATGGGAATTGGTTGCTAGTTGGGTTGGCTCTCAATAAACAATGCAGATTTGGAATTGACCGTTGCAGATTTGTTGAGAAGAAGCCTGTCGAGGGGAACACTTGTTGGTCGGAAGGTAGACACGTCGCCAGATATATACGTTACTTGCAGGGCATTTGTTGGAGTGCATTCCACTTTGCCTGAGTGGCGTACTGTCTTCGCAACAGGTATGAGCCCGGGAGGGATGGCACACCACCCTGCAACTTCCGGTTAGACTGCGCGCGCGACACACTCGAGTAGGCCCCGTGGTTCGAATCCCGTCAGCGTACGGATACCCATAGGATGTCGCGAAGACCGTTGCGCCACGCAAAGCGGAATGCACACTCCAACAAGTGCGCTGCAATCAACACATACCCGCCTTCCCGACAAAGTGGAACGCGCGTTCCGACAGGTGCGCTGCAATTGACACATATCTGACAACCGCGTTTTCCGACAATGTCGGGAAGGCGGGGTCAGATATGTGTTGATTGCAGCGCACTTGTTGGAGTGTGCATTCCGCTTTTGCCTACGTGGCGCAACGGTCTTCGCGACATAGGAGACTACGTTGGAAAGGGGGTGACTTAGCAGTTGGTCCAGGCATCCCGGTATGGCCCGGCATCCCTGAGGATGTGTTGAAAGATATGTGTCAATTGTAGTGCGCTTTCGGAGCGCGCATTCCACTTTTGCCTGATTGGCGCAATGGTCTTCGCGACAACAACGGGGAGGTAGCAACGCCAAGGCGGGGATAATATCCAGTATGTCTGTTCAGATATGATAAGGCCAGTCGTACACTCGCCACATGATATGACAGGTGGCAAAAATTATCCGTGGTTTCTGTTGCAAACCGGGCAGAATCACGGGCAGGATCCACCCCAGGTGTGCAGGGCCAGTTCACTGCACAAACGCTGGGTGCAGCCCTAGCCCTTATTTGCAGGGATTGCAGCCTCGCACAGGTCTATAGTCTGCGCGCCCTCCACTAGGGATGGGGCTAGTAGCTAGCATCAGCATCATCAGAGCTTTCCACACCCTAAGTATCGTATTAACTCACTAATTGAGTTGGTCCAACGTTAAGCCCAGCATGTCTCAGCGCCACTAAATTTACGCTACGTACCTAGCTGTCCCCGCCCGAGCCATCCTTAGTCGGCTCGACGCATTTTTGCCCTATTTTCTATTTGAGCCGACTAAGGATGGCTCGGGACAGCTAGGTACGTAGCGTATTAAATTTAGTGGCGCTGAGACACTGGCCCTCTTCCCAGACGTTGAGACCGGCTCAATTTAGTGAGTTAATACGGTATCTGGCGACGTGTCTACCTTCCGACCAACAAGTGTTCCTCGACAGTCTTCTCAACACACCCTCAGGGACCACGGCTCCGCCGGGATTCCTGGACCAAGCCAAATATGCGGAGTCGAACACACGCCAATGCCCGGGTAAGGGGAATCCAAGAGGGTGCCGCCTACGGGGATTGAACCCCGCACCGCACGCAGTCACCGGAAGTTACAGGCCGTGCCACGCCCTCCCGGGCTCATAACTCTTGCGAAGACAGTACGCCACTCAAAAGTGGAATGCACTCCTAGAAGAGAGCAGGGCAAAGGGCATGATTTTTTTGGGGTGCATGTGTGTTCATTCTTCCTTCTGTCATAGGCCCTTATTTATCCCCTTGCCCTTCTTCCGTGTTCCATCTTCTTCCTTGCGGACTTACTAATCCTTAGGCACCCAACACTCCGCGTCAGCGTGCCACCTCCCTGTTCACCCTGTCTCGCCCCTACACCTTCAGCTAGCTATCAGGCTTCAGGATCAAGTCTTAGACCCTTCTTCTCGACATCAGCATATTTTATCTTAATGCATGTCGTCATTCGCGATAATATCTGGCAATACGAAGTAGTCCACGTACATCCGGATAGAGAATATCGATGACAACACTCTAAGTCGGGGAAAAATTCTATCTTTGCTTGATATCAAATCTGCTAACTCACTTCGCCGCGCTTTGCTTTTTTTTGCAGTCGTTTTTCGCGCCTACTGCGCGCCAGGCCCAAACAGAGCCTGTATCGTGTCATAACCATAGTCCAAGTCACCGTGCCAGTAATTTGGTGAATCAGCCCTGAGATTTGCCAGGCCTCGTCGAGAGCTTTGACGACTTCTTCCGGCAGGGTCCCTTCTCCAGGTAGGTCAAGTTATCGTCCAACTGTGCGACACTTGATACACCAATGAGAATACCATCGTTACCGTCATTGATCTTGAGCTCGGAGTGATGCACTACCCAGCGCAGCGCTGCCTCGATCATGGTCAAGCTGTGCTTCTCGACAGCCCCTTCAGCCAACTGAATAGCCTTGAATGTGCTCTCGCGGAAGTAGCGCTCGATACATTCCACCCTGACCTGAGCTGGTATCCGAGAACCGACCGCTCGGGTACCATGTCATGCGACTTGATCTTGCCAGAGAATAGACCGCCAGCGAGAGGGTTGTATGCTACGATGTCCAGACCATAGCGGCGACAGGCAAAGCTCGGTCTCAATATTGCGCGTGATGCAGTTGTACATACCCTGGAAAATACTGGGGCGCACCCAGTTGTTATATTTGCAAATCATCATGACCTCGGCCATCTCGTACGCGGTGAAATTGCTAATACCGAAACGAACGAACTTGCCGGCCTTGTGAAGCTTGTCCATGGCTCCAAGTGTCTCTTGGAACGGCGTAGTACGGTCTGGTTTGTGCAGGTAGAGGATCTTATAAGCAGGTTATGATTAGTTTTCAATTTGGCTTCAGCATTTCAAGAGTGAGATACCAGAAACGACTTACATCTACGCAATCCGTACCCAGCTCCTTGAGACTGGTCTCCACCGAAGCAATCACTTTCTCAGCCGTGTTATCCCCTTGTGATACTGTAGTGCACCTTGTGGCTAAGGTCAGTCCCTCTCCTTCCACTTGGCTTCCCTTGTAAAAGCTTCTTGTTTGGTGCCAACATAGAGACGAGCTGTGTCTAATTCGCTGTATCCTCTGGTCTGGAATAAGTCGAGAACTTTGTCGAATGTTTCTAATTCAGTGATTCTTGCACCATCTTCCAGGCTGGGTCCAAAAGTCATCAGACCCAGGATGATGCGTGGCCCCATCTTTTGAACTTCGAGGGGCATCTCAGCATATATGTAACTGTGCAGCTGAGAGAACTGTTAACTGGTCTTCTTGTCCAACTATTACGCAGCCAGCTGGCGTGGATTGATGCGATGTGATGTAATATTATTTAATATCGGCGTTGGTTTGGATTGAGTCAGCGCTGACTTCAATTCAAGTATCAATTCAAGTATATCAAGTAAGTCAAGTAAGTTGACCGCTGAATTTATTTCAAGGAAGTAAGTTTATGATGCCCGGAACTTGATATACTTGATATACTTGAAATGATATTTTCCAGGTTTATCGACTCAAGCTGTAGGGTATGTGATGAAGGCTTCCAGCCATCGCACCAGTCGCAGGTGGTAACCTTATCCTTGGGGCGCAGCAGAAGTCGCAAATCGCGCGTGTTTTTGCTTTGCAGAAAATGTGTCTCGGTGCAGATCGGGGTCTACGCGTATCGCATCCCCATAGGTGGGGCGAATTTTAGTGCTCCAAATAAAGTGGAGCATAGCACGGTTTCACCCCGTCAATTTTTCCTCAAGACAGTTCGCGACGAGAGGCATGTTGATACCTATGCCTGAACGTGACCTGACCTCAGATATCAAGTATATCAAATATATCAATTCAATTAAGTTAATCAAGTTGACAGGTGATTTCATTTCAAGTAATCAAGTTACACCTCAAACTTGACTTACTTGAATTGAAGTCAGCGCTGGATTGAGTGGCCTTTTGCAAGCGCTACAGGGTTTCAAGTCAAGTCTGGCGCACGTTGCTGGATTTATCATTGCAGTGGGGAGGTTTGGCAACGCCGCGTTGCCAACCAGTGTGGTTAACAAACCGACAGACCTAGACCGGCACCTGCGGGCGGTCGGTCTGGGTTCCTCAGGCTCGCGGGCGGTCGGTCTAGGTCTGTCTGAGTTAGCAGCTCAGTCGGTCTTGGTCTGGGTTAGCTGATTTCTCATTGGCTGTCCTTGCAGCGACCCACTTAATTTCAAACCGCAAGCTCACACCCGCAAAACCAAGAGGGCGGCCTGGGCGTAGTGGTGACACGTCTGGAGCCTCTGCGTCGCAGAGGGGTCGGTTCGAAGCCGGCTGGAGGCACCCCTGGGCGAACAGGGTACACCCGGGTTCCGCCCGTCAACAGGAACAGCGTCATGAGAGAACACAATCGGCGTACCAACCACCATCAATGACTACAACCACGCTTCAACTTCGACACATCGCGCTTCAGTTGCTGGGAATAGATGCTGAACACTTGGAGAAATTGACCTTCAAGCAGGTCTGTCATGGAGCGAACAGTGGAATGGTTGGCGCAGCGTAAGATGATATGGGGCTTGGGTGTCATGCATCAGTGTATCGAACCGTCAATAGCCAGAGTGTCTAGGCCCTATAGGGACCTTCTCCGGCGGAATAAATCCATACCAACCAAGAGGGCGCCGGGCTTAAGGTGTTACGCATTAGTATTGAAATGTAGTAGCTTTACGTCTAGG